AACATCTTGTAGTCGATGCTCGTCTCGTTTATTAGGAATCAAGCTTAGCTAAAGTTAACTGTCATCTCAAAGTGTTATAAAACTAAACAATGTATACAATTATTTACAGAAATATCTATAACTTAGACCAGAAGTGAGGATGCGGACATATGTCCTATGAAAGAGATTGAAAATATATCTGATCAGAACTTAGATAAAAGTGAAGTGTTGAAAAAAGCTAAATGGCCAAGGTGAATGCTATATTACTATTGTTAGGCCAAATTGGCCCACAGTCCGTCTTCGACACAAGGGGGAGCAAACAACTCGAAAAACCCAAACAGCGGAGCAGTCAGGTGCAAGGTATTTTAATCAAAAGAGTCACAAGTAGTGGCACAATAAAAACTGTTCTTTATAAAATCCAATGTTCCATAAAAAAAAGGTCACCCGTTGAAGGCCACAGGTTGGGCTCCGCTTATTTTCTTGTTCGTGGCGGTGATCTATGTAGCGCGCACTACAGCCGGCCGCACAGCGCTCCACCACCGCTCCACTCCTCGGCGTGCCACACCCCCTTACGTTTCGGTCCAACTAGAAGGAAAGAACAGGAAAGCGCCAGCATCCCCGCACCAGAACTCCGTCGGAAGACGTGCTTTTTGCCAGCTCTCTGCAGGATCAGTTCGACCAGAAAGAAACTTTACTTACAGGCGCGGGCAGAGGTTACCCTCTGCCCTGATTCTCTGTACTGGGCCGTCTGTCCAACTCCCGATGGCTTGTGCCGGATGAGCGGGCTCCGTCTGCTCCCCACAGTGTGTCAGTTCCCGTGGCTGCAGAACCAGTTCTCTCTCTTCTTCCCAGCCAAGCTCCCTTATTTGGCTCTAATCAGCCTCTGCTGACACCTGTCTGGGTGGCCAATTAGTGCGCCCCGCCTCCCGAGACAACCACCTTCAGTCCAGGGTGTTTGGATTGTCAAAAGGGGAAAAGGAAAAAGAAAAGCAACAACCCAAAACAATATACATGCAAAGCAAACAAAAAAAGCAATAATAAACCATAAAAGAAAACAATCATTTTCCCCTGTTCAACATCCCCCCACACTTTTACAATGACAGTCCCTGTCACTCATCTTCTGCTCTGTAGCGAGCAGGTGGTCGTCCTAGGTTTGCTCTGGCAGAGCCGAGGTCCTAAAACCTCTTCCTGAAAAGGAGCTGAGGGGGTAAACATGACACCATAAAACGGGGGACTAATACAAGTCTCTGCCACACTCTCCTTGCTAGCTACCAGCTGGGGTTCGTCCTTTAAAGGCGTGATACAAAGTTTCAGTGCATTGCGGTGCAGCATCTTTTCACGGCCTCCCTTCTCTGGCTGCACTTTATATACCACCCCTGTTTCACCTACTTGCTCAAGGATAACATGAGGCTCGTCATGCCATCCTGGATGCAATTTACCTTGTCCTTTCCTATTTCTGTCTCTCACCCACACTCTCTCACCCGGTGCCAAAGGCAGGGCCTGCGCTTTCCTGTCATATTGCTTCTTGCTATGAAAAGCAGCTTTTTCCATATGTTTTTTAGCAAGTTCATAAGCAAAGGACAGCTTTGCATGATGGTCTTTAACCCATCCTCCCATGTCATGTTGAGGCTGGAGTTGTCCCACTCCTAAACTCACATCCACCGGCTGCCTCAGGTGCCTGCCAAACATCAAAAATGAAGGGGCGTAACCTGTAGAGCCATGAACAGTATTGTTGTAAGCCTGCAACAGTTCAGGTAAATACTCTGGCCACCTGTGTTGTCTCTCTGCTCCAAGAGACCGCAACATATTCAGGAGAGTTTGATTCATTCTCTCCACACTTCCGTTCCCTGACGGATGATAAGGAGTGGTCCTGCTTTAGTGATACCATAGCACTTGCAAAGCTCTTGCATTAAAGCAGACTCAAAATTTGGCCCTCTGTCTGTATGGAATCTAGCTGGACAACCAAATATCTGTATCACATGTGACCACAGCACCTGAACTGTTGTCTGGGCAGTTTGATCTTTTGTTGGGACAGCCCACGAATAGCGTGTGAACCAATCTGTCATGACCAAAATATTCTGGTACCTATCTGTAGGCCTGCCTAGAGAAAGAAAATCTAGGCCTATAACCTCAAGGGGGTAAGACACTGGTATAGGATGCAGTGGGGCCTTAGGCTCCGCCCTGCTTTGCAAGCTACAGGCAGCACAGCCCAACTGAAACTGATGCACCTCCTTCTCCATATTGGGCCAATAGAAGAACTGACGGATTCTGGACAATGTCCTCTCCACTCCTGCATGGGCCGTTGCTTGATGATACTTCTCCCACACCTCTCTGCGTTTACTTGTGGGGCATACAACTTGAAAAAAAGTCTCATTAGTTTTACAGTCTGTTACTTTTCGACAAACAACACCATCCTGGAGTACGAGTTTCCCCCACTGTTTCAAAATCTTGCATGTGATGACTGACAAGTTCTTCCTGGTTTGTGCTTCGGGTGGAGTCCCCTGTCTCACATACCTTTGCACAACTTTCAGGTCCACATCCAACTCTTGAGCCATCTTCCAATCCTGTGTCTGTAGTCCACCCTCCTGAGGATTTGAAGAAGCTGCTACATTGGTGACATAGACAGCTTGGTCCTCTGATGGCAGGTCTGCAGGAAATCTGGACAAGGCGTCAGCATTCACATTTTCCTTCCCAGCCGATATTTCACAATAAAATCGAAGGAGGCTAACTGCACTACCCAGCGTTGTTCTGTTGCCCCCAGGTGGGCAGTTTGAAGATGTGCCACTGGATTGTTATCTGTAAAAACTGTAAATTTGGCTCCCGTCAGGTAGTCTTTAAACTTTTCAGTGATGGCCCACTTTAAGGCCAAAAGTTCCAGCTTGAATGAACTGTAATTTGCATCATTCCTTTCAGCAGGATGCAGACTTCGACTAGCATAGGCGATCACATGTTCTCTCCCACCTTGCACCTGGGCTAGGACAGCACCCAAGCCCTGTTTACTGGCATCAGTGTAAAGGACAAATGGTAGGGAGAAGTCAGCATAAGCAAGAACAGGGGCTTGTGTAAGTGCAGTCTTTAATCGTTCGAATGCTTCTTGACACTCATCTGTCCAAGTAATCTTTACCTCTGACCTCTTATTAGCAGGTATCCCAATCAACAGAGAGTTCAAAGGGCGGGCCATTTTGGCAAAACCAGGGACAAACCTCCTATAATACCCAGCCAGGCCCAGGAAAGCTCTTACCTGGCGAATGGTACTTGGCACAGGATAATTTTTAACAGCACTAATTTTTTCAGGGTCAGGTCTCACCCCATTCTTGTCCACAAGGTGGCCAAGAAACTTTACCTGAGACTGAAACAACTTGCATTTGTCCAATCTGAGTTTCAGACCATGCTGCCAAAGTCTCCGGAAAACAGTTTCAAGGTGTTGCAAGTGGGAGGAAAAGTCTGGTGAGTATATAATGATGTCATCCAAATAGACCAAGGCAGAATCTGTAAGTTGGCCGCTTAAACATTGTTGCATTAAACGCTGAAATGTGGCAGGAGCATTACAGAGCCCAAATGGCATGCGTTCAAACTCAAAAGGCCAAGTGGTGTGGTAAATGCAGTCTTCTCTTGGTCTTTGGGGTCCATCTCCACCTGCCAGTAGCCGCTAGCCAAGTCCAGCGTTGAAAACCATTCTGCTCTTGTTAAAGATGTCAAGGTCTCCTCGATCCTAGGAAGGGGAAAAGCATCCTTATGAGTGACAGCATTAAGCTTCCTGTAGTCTACACAAAACCGCAGGCTCCCATCTTTCTTCCTCACTAGAACGATAGGTGCAGCCCATGGACTCTTGCTCTCACAGATAATTCCTTTATTCAGCATATCTGCCAGAAGTGTCTTCATTTCTTTGTACATTAAAGGAGGCAAGGGTCGATACTCTCTTTGATAGGTGCTGCATTACCTGTGTGTATGCTATGCTGGACCAAGTCTGTTCGGCCAATATCTTCTTCATCCACAGAAAACACCTTTTTCCACCTCTGCAGGAAGGCCTGGAGCTCCCCCTTCTGCTGTGGGGTTAAATCTACAGAAGTTAGGAGTTTGTTCACCTCTTCACAGCTGTTGGGTTCTTGCATCCAACAGCTGTGTTGGGATGCAACACAGCTGTTGTTCTGTTACACCAACTTCTGTTACACCAACTTCAACCACTCCATCAGATCCCATAGTTTAAACTAAGGTCGCCGGTGCCCTGGATTTCAGTCTCCTCCACTTGATACAGTCGGCCTAACTTCTCGTAGCGTCCTATTTTTATTGGGTACGAGTGGGGGTTACAGACTCTGACAGGAAGCCGACCCTGATCAACCACTGACAAAGTTCTTGCCACCCCCCATTGTTCCAATCCAGGTATTGCCTCCACCAACACCAACCCCTTTCTGGACCTCATCTTCTGAGGAGCACGGCCCCAAATAATTATTTCACTATTAGGGGGTACCTGTATTCCTTGGCGGCATGCAGGTCGAACGTACCCTAGGGAACCCCCTTCCATCTTAGTAGCAGAAATCCTCTGGCAGATAGTAAATGCTTCTTCCCAGACCTGGTGGGACTTCCACTTCTGAGGGAGAAAGCTGACGTTCCACCTTTAAAAACAGTGTCCCAACAAGCACCAATCACATTCATCCCCACAATAAGTGGGTGAGTGGAACAGTCATCTTTTACAATCACAACACCTTTTTCGGGTATTTTAAACCCTTCAACCTCAAAGTCCATGATAGCATACCCCGAGTATGGATGGTGGTGAGGCCATTTGCAGCTTTTAATGTGAACACCAAGGATCTGTCACTTTTCATTTGTGGGAAATGACAATCCATTACTTGCTGTTGCACCAGTGTGACTTGAGAACCAGTATCTAGCAAAGCTGTCATTCTCACTCCACCCATAGATAACTCTATGGTAGGACATTTACCAATGAAGGGTGCTGTGGGCCCTTGGTCATTTGTTATACAACCAGTCCCACTGCTTGGGCCTCAGCAGTAGGGTTACCTAGTTTAAAGCTGGCTGTTCCCCATCAGGTGCTCGGCACTCCCTGGCAAAATGCCCCGCCCGCTTACACTGCCTGCAGATAGGTTGTCCATCCCTGGTCCAGCCACGGGAATACCCAGGCCGTCTTTGTGGTGGTCTTGACACCCCTGAAGCAGCAACAGCTCCCTGACTTTGTTGTAAAAAAGGTCTGATCTCATTAATTACTTCTTTTGCCAAATCTTTCATTTGTTCTTTAACATCCTGCATTATTTCTTTTTTGAAATCTTCTTTCCAGTTGGAGTCAGACAATCGGTTCTGTGTTGACTCACCTACTGCAAAACACATACTCTGTAGTCTTTGTGAGCCATTATGTTCCTCTTCGAGCTGTAATGCCTCTCGGTGAACAGCGACAAAGTCCTCTCTAGGATTGTGTCGCACATAGGCTCGGAGTGTGTGAGACAGGGGACCTTCACGCAGGCCAAGTAGCATCTGGTCCAATAAATTTGGATCCGTAGGTGCATCATCAGAGCTGCGCTGCCGCAACCTGCGGCACAGTTCTCTCAACCTTAAAGTAAAAGACTTTACAGATTCATCAGGTTTCTGAATGCAACCATAAAATTGTGACCTTAACACAGCAACTGGAGTATTATCACCATACAATGTGTCCAAATGATTTAAAATCTTGCGGACCTGGTCTCGCTCAGCCTCATCTAAAACATTAACCTGTTGCTTCGCTTCCCCAGCAAGAGCCCCTATTAAAATGTCCACTTTCCTTGCCTCTGTAATTCTTGAGCATTTAAAAGTCCATGCACTTGTTCTTTCCAGTCCACATATTTAAGTTCACTTTCAATCCCTTTGTACTTGGGCACCCAAGGTGCACCAGGGAAGGGAGGCCGTGAAAAGATGCTGCACCGCAATGCACTGAAACTTTGTATCACGCCTTTAAAGGACGAACCCCAGCTGGTAGCTAGCAAGGAGAGTGTGGCAGAGACTTGTATTAGTCCCCCGTTTTATGGTGTCATGTTTACCCCCTCAGCTCCTTTTCAGGAAGAGGTTTTAGGACCTCGGCGCTCTGCCAGAGCAAAACCTAGGACGACCACCTGCTCGCTACAGAGCAGAAGATGAGTGACAGGGACTGTCATTGTAAAGTGTGGGGGGATGTTGAACAGGGGAAAATGATTGTTTTCTTTTATGGTTTATTATTGCTTTTTTTGTTTGCTTTGCATGTATATTGTTTTGGGTTGCTTTTCTTTTCCTTTTCCCCTTTTGACAATCCAAACACCCTGGACTGAAGGTGGTTGTCTCGGGAGGCGGGGCGCACTAATTGGCCACCCAGACAGGTGTCAGCAGAGGCTGATTAGAGCCAAAATAAAGGGAGCTTGGCTGGGAAGAAGAGAGAGAACTGGTTCTGCAGCCACGGGAACTGACACGCTGTGGGGAGCAGACGGAGCCCGCTCATCCGGCACAAGCCATCGGGAGTTGGACAGACGGCCCAGTACAGAGAATCAGGGCAGAGGGTAACCTCTGCCCGCGCCTGTAAGTAAAGTTTCTTTCTGGTCGAACTGATCCTGCAGAGAGCTGGCAAAAAGCACGTCTTCCGACGGAGTTCTGGTGCGGGGATGCTGGCGCTTTCCTGTTCTTTCCTTCTAGTTGGACCGAAACGTAAGGGGGTGTGGCACGCCGAGGAGTGGAGCGGTGGTGGAGCGCTGTGCGGCCGGCTGTAGTGCGCGCTACACATAGATCACCGCCCACGAACAAGAAAATAAGCGGAGCCCAACCTGTGGCCTTCAACGGGTGACCTTTTTTTTATGGAACATTGGATTTTATAAAGAACAGTTTTTATTGTGCCACTACTTGTGACTCTTTTGATTAAAATACCTTGCACCTGACTGCTCCGTCGGAAGACGTGCTTTTTGCCAGCTTTCTGCAGGATCAGTTCGACCAGAAAGAAACTTTACTTACAGGCGCGGGCAGAGGTTACCCTCTGCCCTGATTCTCTGTACTGGGCCGTCTGTCCAAACTCCCGATGGCTTGTGCCGGATGAGCGGGCTCCGTCTGCTCCCCACAGTGTGTCAGTTCCCGTGGCTGCAGAACCAGTTCTCTCTCTTCTTCCCAGCCAAGCTCCCTTTATTTTGGCTCTAATCAGCCTCTGCTGACACCTGTCTGGGTGGCCAATTAGTGCGCCCGCCTCCCGAGACAACCACCTTCAGTCCAGGGTGTTTGGATTGTCAAAAGGGAAAAGGAAAAAGAAAAGCAACAACCCAAAACAATATACATGCAAAGCAAACAAAAAAAGCAATAATAAACCATAAAAGAAAACAATCATTTTCCCCTGTTCAACACTATAATCAGTATTTTGAGGTCAAATTTGTATTATGACGGCATTAGAAGTACACTTATAAATGTTCTCTTTTTTATCTGAAGATAAACAGATGGATGAATTGCTCAAGATCTTTATGCGCCATCACTCTTTCAATATTGGAAATGTTCTTGAGGTGATAGAAAACCAACTTTTTTATTATGACACATGTAAATCCATGTCTATATATTTTTAACTAATCCAGATATAAAATGCAGAATCACTTTCACAGTACTTGTTCCATACATAAAACAACAATAATCCTGTTTGCATTTTTATTTTCTTTGTTTTATGTTTACAAATAGAACTACATCAAAGGCCTCAAGGCTTTCACTCTGTTCTTTTAGTAAGGGTTTGAAGGTGTGATCCATAATGACCTTCAGAGCGAGCCACGTCTCATTGGCAGTGGGAACAATTTGATTGGCAGGAAGGATGAAGCCATAGTGGCCGGTGTCCCTCAGTTCAAAGGTGTAGGAGTACTTGATTCCCTGGTTGTAGGTCCAGTCGATGGAGCCTCCACTAGATTGATCTGCAGTGAAAACAAAGGTACTTTACACAATTGTTGTCTGATTTCCTCTGAATACCCAAATTAAGTTATGTTGCTGAAAACTAGCTTAACAAGAAGAGGTTATATTATTTATTTTGATACACCAAAACACTACAGGTACTTTTATGCTGTAAGTGAGTCTGAATTGTTGTGTACATCTGTTTGTAAAATTACAGTGAAAATTTTTTTTACTGCACTGTTTTGGTTTTGTTAGCCAGTCATAGAGGAACAAATGTGGGTGTTTGTTTTTCAAAGTCAACATGTTATCCAGATATTTGTAAAAACTAGAATCTCAAATTAAATACTTAATTCACAAGCTGAATCTTTTGATTAAGTATTTCAAATTCTATTTTGTCTTCAAATATTTAGTTAGGAGGCTAAGTATTTAGTTTGTAAAATAAGTATTTAATTTCCAATTGAATGTTTAAGTCTGAGCTAAATATTTATTTTGTAAACTAAATATTTAATTTCCAAGCCAAACTTTTTTTTACAAACTAAATACTTAGCTTTGTAACTAAGTATTTAGATCGCTAGCCAAATATTTACGCAGACTTAAAAATTTAGTCTAGAATTAGACATCTACAGCTAAATTAAGTATTTAGCTGTAAACTAAATATTTAATTTAAAAGCTAAATTTTCGTACTAACAATTTAGCTTCTGAGTTAAATATTTAGTGAAAATATGACTTTGAAAAATGAACTCCTGCTTTGTTTCCCCAAACTTAGAAAGTGCTGTTAATTTTTTAAGATGTAACTTTACAAACAGCACACCATGCTGAAGAGGAAATAATCTCTTGCAAATGCACAATGAAGTTTACTGAGCCTAAATGCTTTGGGGACTCACAGATAGTGGTGATGATGCTGCCATATCTGTAGCTGGTGCCATACAAGGACGCCAGAGCAGTGACGGCCTTTTGAGCAACTTGGTCCTGCAGAATGAAACTGACCATAGTTACCAAACAAAAGAGCTTCAAAGGTATATAAATTTTACCTTCTAAATTTTCTTGTTTCTTGTTTGATTAAGAATAACAGAGTTCTGTGCAAAGGACTGGAGCAGAAATATTTCTACCAGCTCAGCTTGGTCTTTGGCAGGTTTCCTGGTGTATCCGTAGGGGAACAAAAGCATCTGTGAGTAGGAATGGATGGAGATGAAGGCCTTGATATTGCCGTGTGACCTCACAAAGTTTACAATGGACTTGACTTCAGCCTCAGAATGAGCCCTGGTTCCACGATAGATCTCTGAGCATGGATTGTTGCTAGAACCGTGTCCTAAATGTTTTAAGCATCAGAGTACAAAAAAAGGAAAGACAAAGAGTTTGAGATAATTATTTTACGTGGATTAAATTGGATTAAGTAAATGAATGCATCCTGGAATTTACAAGGTCGAAAGGAATGTCACACCAATTTATTGATAAGACACTACACAACATTAAAGTTGATCAAAGTGTTGCACAGATTTAGAGTTAGAAGAATAACTCATAAAATAAATAAGAATTAAAATGAAAGTTCATTTGATTTACTGACCACCATTTTCCATGTCTTATGCTGAATTTTATAGTTTAGGTTTGAAACCTAAACTATAACCATAGTTATATTGTTATAGAGCAATTAACTTTTTAGTTTTGCTCATCGTCGATTGTTTAAATTTTCCTTATGGACAGAAAGTTCTACCTCCAAACCCAGCATTCCAGTTCCGGTTTAGGTCCACACCGACACACCTGGAGCCCCGATTCTGCTTCCTGTTCTTACGCCACATTCGGTTCTGGAAACAAATCAAATGTTTTTTTTTTTTCTTTTTAGTTGTTCTCGTATGTGCACCTGATCTCACATGTTAGTGAAATGATAAAGTTCCTAAAAAGAAGCATATTTTCAGTTTTAAGAATAACAGTGTCCTATGGTTTATGTTTAACTGTGCCCATCTCACGTTGGTGTGGGTGAAGTGGTATCCATCAGGGTTGACCACCATCTCTAAGAAAATATCCATTCTGTTAAGAATTTCAGTGAGAGCAGAGTCTGTTCCATATTCTGTCACAATCTGCAAACAAAAAGCAACAAATAAATATTACAGCATTTACAGGTGTAAAATGTAAAGTATCAAACTACCTTTTTGGCGAACACAATTCCACTGGCCTGAGTGACCCATTCTCTGGCATGGATTCCAGTGTCGATCCAGATAGCAGGACGGTTGCTTCCACCAGTGCTGAACTGTAGAGACAAGAAAGAGAAAGAACTTAGGCACAACAAAGTGCAAATGATAAATGGGTTGGTTGTGTGATTTCCTTTTCCATTTGAAGTCATGGTTTGGTTTAGAAAGAGACTAGATTTTCAGAAACGTCTTCTACCTTGAGAACATTAAGCAGACGACCCTCATAGCTCTGACCGATCACTGTCTTGCTGACCAACTTTGGATTCTCAGCCTAGCATGTCCTGGAAACTGTAGATCTGAAAGGAAGTCAAAAAGATTCATCCTGACTGTGAAGTTGAATTTTGGAATCTTTGGTGCCATTTTTATTATGCGACATAAAACTAGGGATGTATAATTATATCGATTCTACAATATTTATATATATTTATAAAAACACATTTCCCCCTCGGAAAGTAGCGATTTTTCATTCGTGGGTATCAATGCATTAAATCATGGGGGTCCAGAGGCATCATATCTTTTAACATGTCTGATTTGTGATGCTGCAGCAGCAAGACTCCGCCTCCCCCAGTCTCACTTTCAACTTTTGCTTGAAGTGCACATTATAAACTACACATTAGGTTTTAAATTGTGTTAATAGGGCAAGTAAAACTGGAGCTATGCCAAAATAAGTAAACCATATTTTTTCAAATGTAAGAGAAATGTTAAAAACTGGCTTTTCTGGGAATGTGAAAGGTAATGAGCTTCCGAATGTAAAAAATTAAACTCATTATGGTAACACTTTATTTGACGGGTTGTGAAGAAGACTGGCATAACACCATCATAAACATGTCATAACACTTGTAATAAACACGAACAAGTCTTCATGAATATTAATGACTGTTGTTATAAAGTATCATTCGGTAAATCATGACACTTTTAATACAAAGTTGACATTATTCAAAATGTATTTGTAATTTGGCATTAACCAAAAATTATGATCTGATATAAATTTGTTATAAAAATATTACTAATTCTACTTTAGCTTTAATAACATAAAGCTACATATTTTTTAAAGTTTAATCAGTAATACTTTTATAACAAACTTATGTCAGATCATGACGTCTTGGTTAATGTCAAGTTGTCATATAACGAAGACATTTTTGTCTAGGTGTTTTAACTTAAACTAACCTCACTGAGGGTGTGGTAGTTGGCGTAGTCAAAGTTGTCAGTGTTTCCAGCCAGAGCAGCGGACTTCATTTGGCTCTGCTCCTCATCCAGCAAAGCCTGCAACATTGTCTGATTAAGTGATGCCTCAGAAACAAAGAGTGTGATGGAACACCAATGCGGTTTCACAAACCTCACCCTATAGAAGGCTACACTATATATTGTTGAGTTTTGTAACACACCTGTAGGTCTTTAATCATGGTGAAGTACTTGATGCTGTGATTCTCCAGGTAACTCTTGACAACCTGCAGGCTGTGAGAGGGAACTCTGATGTCCACAGGGGTCACCCGTCTCCAGAAGTCCAGCTGTAAAAACACACGGATGTTTCACATGCTGCATAAGTCTGTGTTGTTTTAACTTCCACTGTCAAATGAATAGTTTAAATTGCAAAATAACCTCCAAATCCAATATGTCTTCCAAAACTCTGACAAGGGCCAATTGGACATCATCTTTCGGCACAATCCGGAAAACCTGATGCCTACAAAAGAAACACAATGATATTATTCCAGTAAGTTACTTATCGAGGTGGTAGCACATGAAAAAGTAAGTTGTGTGGCTCTGCTTTTGCAGATGTTAGATACTGAAAAAAACATTTATCTGTGCCAAGCTGCTCTGACATTGGGCTTTTATGGCCTTTTATGGCAATAAAAGCCCAATATGAAGGTAGTGAAATAAACATAACCCTACTACCTGAAAAACTGTGTGCCACTCTTAGAGAGTAATATTACTTATGAAATGAACATTTTAATCTTTGTTTCTTTGTGAATTGCAAGCACCCAAGATCACAACTGAAAATTTTGCTTTGGGAAAACATTTTTACTTTTCCTCCATAAATTATGGTGCAGGCTTTATTAAAGCTACCTTTGAAAACTGAGATACAATTTTCTCAATGATTAACTGATGTTTTTTTTAATATGAAGGACAAATGCATGATGAACTGCCTGGAGTTATCCAAATGACTGAGCAAGGATGCAAGAAATACAGAAGCTGTGTTTCCATCAACCATATTATATTAATTACTCAATTTGACATTTTGAAATTAAGTTTGCTTCATTAAAACACCAATTTTTAAAAGGTTTTTGCAGGTAGGATGAGGTAATCGCTTGACTTAAAAGTATTCATGCATGATTATAATTGTGTTTTTGTTGGGAATCAGGGTTTTGGGTTTTCTTTGGCTTTTCTGCTTCTTACCACTTATTCACCAGATGGCATCATAGGGGTGCTTTTCCCTGGAGGAATGTGCCATGGTTTAGTGCACCAGTGTTTAATCATCTCATCAGTCCTGGAGCTTAAGAGGAGCCGACTACCAGTACTTTGTCATCTGAGTGTTAGTCTACATGGTACTCTTGAGCCCCCAAAGCGAGCTTCCTCTGTGTATTCACTGAGAGATTCTCTAAGTAATTATTCTTGTTGTTTTCCCCTCTTCATGTATTTTTTGTGACGCCGAGTTTCCTCCTCGAGAAGACCCCATTCTGTATTTCCTTTCCTTGTGACACCATGGATCAAACCCACTGCTTGCCCGAGTCCCATCCTCATCTTTCCGGATTATTCACCTGACTGTCAGACCGCTCCTCATTTCGTCTTCTATGTCTGAGCTTACCTGTCCACCCTCCACCACAGCCTCCACAAACAAACCCCGCTTCTGGAACCTGGATCTTCATCAGACTCACATAGTGAACCTATACCCCGAACCCACAGTCTCCCCTCCCAGACCGAGATCATAATTTTCTCAAGTAGTTTCAGTTCATTTAGTCTTACATCTCCCATTTCCGATTACCCCTGATCTTGCCATCTCTTCTGCTACTCCTTAGTGTGCCGACCTCACCGTGAGCCCTCCCCTGGAATCCTTTGTTCTCTACTCACTTAATCTGTGTTTTTTCAATAAAAATCTTTTACTGATATCTCCTGTGGGCATGTGGGCAAGAAACTTAGAAACATAGCAATCGCAAAAGAGTTTGTTTTCTTCACATTAGCGGAATATTGACAAAGTACAGTACACAAATAGAATGGAAATGCAGCTCGAGGGTAAGAGGTGAAAAAATAGCACCACCGTTTTGTCATTCTGCCTTTTTTGTCTTGGACCACAGACTGGGTTATTTCCAGCTATAATATGGATACATGATGTACACCTGCAAGTAATTATTCTCTTGCAAATCAGTTGGTTACTATTTACACTTTTAAATGGTAACCAACTGATGTGGTTACTGTCAGGGGTAAATATGTCCACCAAACATGTCCTCCGTTTCTGTATGAAAATCATTCTGTTTTAGACTCATCTATCCCACGGACATTATTCCAGACCCAGTCTTTTTCTACAGCTTCTGTGATTATTTTCTGGCTTCATGTTTTTCCTACAAAGCAAGTTGTCTGTCTCTGACTGTGCAAACATGGACTTTAATATAACCAGCAGTAAGAGTTGGCTGTAGGCCCCCATGATGAGTTTTGGAGTAGCCTACATTTCTTCAGGAGCAGACCAAGCTAATTATCAAACCTCCTTCAGAATGCTGAGTCATGAGGTTCTAATAATGTGCTTCCAACTAGATATGTCTATGCATATTTTTTGGCAATTTTAAGTGGAAATAACAGTGTGGTAGCCCAATCAACCCAGAACACACTGATTTAAAAATGTCTCAATTATATTTCACTTAAAAATTTAAAATGCATTTTCTTTTGAATTACTTGAAATTATTAGTTAAACTTCTGTTTTGGTGCAAACAGAATTAAAATAAAACACCACTGATGTTTGCTTAATAATGTATATTTCTGATCTTGAAGCAATATTACTTATTACTTGAATGTTTTCAACATTGTGCACATTCATAATTATTACAAAGCAGACTTTGCTCTGTGTGCCTTCTTTCTTGCACACTGGTAAAAAAATTAAGCAAAAATAAAAGTATTTTGCCTAACTCAGTGTAGTCAATGGTCAGAAGAAGGTTTTCTGGCTCACTTACCCATGGAAGTCTCCCTTGCTGAGAACAGCAAACAAGCAGAGCAGCAAACACAACGAGTTTCTTCATCTTGATGAAATAAGTCAAACACACTCTTGGACCAAACAGCTTTGTAAAGGCAGCGGTGGGGCAGGACTAGGGTAGCAGGTGTTGCACCATGCTGTTTAAAATTTAGGCTTTTAGAAACATATGTTGCGTCCAGTTTACCAAGAAAGAGGAAGCTAGTTCAAAGTTTGTTTTGTCACACAGCAGTATAACATACTTCCTCATTGGTGCATCTGTACCTTCTATAAGAAATGTGGTTTGAATGTTGTGTTTCATTTTATATGTTGTAAAATATGCAAGCTTGGGAGTTTTATGAAGGTGCTGAATTGTAAAGAAAGAAATAATAGCTATTAATTGTGTGAAAAGTGTTCAATTTATGAGTTATTGTCTTACTTGTTTTGTTGGGTCTTAATAGAGGTTTGTGTGCTTAGAATCCTCCCATATATCTGATATGAAATCCACCCATATGTCAAAAAAACTATGTAGACACCCTTCTGTCAAAATTTAACGGAGGAGTGATTGATGAGTGATTAATGACCCCAATGACTTCCCCCGCCCCCCTTCCAGTGTCCAGTTACCCCCCCCCCCCAAAATAAACATTCCTTAGAAATCTGCTAATCTGCTCACTGCAGCCTATTGTTTTTGGTGAAGCCAATATGTTAGATAATCAAGAGTATTACATACTATATATATATATATATATATATATATATATATATATATATATATATATATAGTATGTACTGTACCCTGAGGAGTTTCAATAGATTCGAATGTTGTAGTTACCTCTGGTTTTGCTCACAAAGCCATTCGTGCTTGTGCGTGACAATGTATGCCTCTGGACAATTCATTCCCAGACTGAACAAAGATCCGGTAGGTACAATTTAAATGGGGGCATAGGATTCATCCTCGTGACCTCTGGTAATCATACTCATCGAATATCAGCTATCAGCTCTCAGGATCTGCTGTAAAACAGACTTTTTTATGAGGATGTGAATTCCCTTAATTTAAATATATCCATTAGAAGGTGGGTTCTCCCCTTGTATGGCTGTTTAATGTTAATTTTATTACCCTGCTTGAGACCTGTTAAAATCCAAAATATGGAGAGAACAAAGGTCATTCTCCACTAGAGTCGTCCCGTTCCAGTCTCCTCCTTTTTATTCCAGACCAGAATTTATGACCTGTCTCAGTGATTCAACAAGAAACTGATTTCTATTTTAAACAAACTGGCACAAAAATCCAATACCAAATAATAACTATGAGTTTTGCTCTAAAAACTTCAGGGTTGTCTACTTTTAAAAAAGCTCTTTTAGAATACCTGAAATATTTTAGAAGTAAAATAGTTTCCTAATTCTATTGTATTTCAGTAATATAAAATGCATGCAAATAGTATGATTAGAGACTAACTAGTTCAGAACATGCTGTTAATGCTTAAAGGAACTATCTTAATACATTTCATTATACTTGTAGAAGACTTTTCTTAAAGTTTTAGTGTTTTACTGAAGTCTTGAACAAACACTAAAGAATTGGACTCCTGAAAAGAGACAAGACACTCTGTGTCTGGATACTCCCCCGTCTGAAGGGGAGTATCCAGACACAGTAATTTATGTAATTTATCCAGACTTAGTAATATATGTGAGTTCAGAGAGTCAACTGTTTTTTTAGTTTGGATCTTTATCTAAATTTACCTAACTTAGAATCTACTCTAAATGTTCATGCTACATTTAATATTTCATATGCGCAAAGGTTGACTATCTCTAAAGTTATGCTAACCAAACTTATATTCTCCACAATGGTAGGATCGGAGCTGGGAGCCGGTTCTCCATGGGTTAGGGGGTTAGAATTGGGGTTTGGGTTCAAGGTCAAGGGTCAGGGATACAAGAGTTTGAACCCCTTTCTCTTTTCTTCTCCCCCTCACCCTCTGCCCTCCCCCAGGTGTACGGGCATGTCCTGCAGGGAGTCCCCACATGGAGCCCCACATGGAGCTACTTCTCATTTAGATCCCTGGGGATCCGTGTGTCCAGCGTGTGGATCCACAGCCTTTCAGCCCTTCTCCTCTGGGCTGAGGACCAGGCTGGGTTGCATTCCAGCACCAGAGCCACAACTGCATCCCACCCATGGCGTATGAAGTGCTGCACTAGGGGTACATGTGTGTTTTTTAAATTTTTTTATATATCTATGTTCAGTGAAACGGGTAAGGAGGCTGTTTCCCACCTCACCCACATAATAGATCTTACAGATTTGGCAGTTGTTAAATTTGTTTTGTACCCAGTGCAGCTGCTTGAAGAATCCACCCTTACCTTTGACCTTTGGTGTATTTAAAGGTCTTACTTCAGCATGGATGAGAAAATCCCTCAGGTTTATATTTATTTTGTAAGCCGCAATTATTCTATAATTTTGAAGCAGATGTATCAGATCAGAATTTATTAAAATTCTATTTGATGTTATACACAAAATTTTCTACTGAGGAGGAGAATGTAGTGATCATAGGTGATGAATCGGTGAATAGGTGATGAATAGGTGATGAAACCCTAACCCCACCCACCTAACCCTTACAAAAAGCAGAAAACAGAATCCTAGTTGCCTCCTCATAGTCTGTTTTCTGTGCTAATTCTGTGGAATCTGAGGAGATTGTTAAGAATTAAAAAGAGGAATAACTTGATTTAGCTCGTTAATAAATTCTTTGTCCCGAATTCCTGTGTCTGTGTAAGTGTGCAGAGAGAAAAGAGCAATCATACGTCAGATTTCAGATATCCATAACTTTATCCAAAAGTGAATACAAATACATACAGAATAACAGACCACCATTTACACCCAGATTATCATGAAGCCAACACCCAATGACAAAACAGAATATTACCTGATTCAAAAATGCATTTTTGGGAACCACTCACTCAGCACCAAGCGATTCGAACTTCTGCTGTAAAACAAATCATTTATAGAATGCGTATTCTCCTCATTTAAATATATGCATTAGGAGGTGTGTTCTTTTCCTTTGTGTGGGCTGTCTTAATGTTAATTTCACCACCTCCTGCTAAAGAGCCCCAAAAGCAGATATACGGCCTACCCTTCTCGTACCAGCCGCTGTCCAGTTTGATATATGATTGCAGCTGCAGTGTTATCTCTGCCTCAAACTGTTTCCACAAGAAGTAGTTTGTATTTTAAACAAGCTTGCACAAAATGTAATGCTAAATAATGACTATAAGTTTGGATCTAATAAGTAACTATTTAAAAACATACTTAAAGAAATATAGTTAATTCTAATATAGATAAAATTATTTATAAAAAGTTTTAAGATCCTAGTGAACTTTTGAACCATGCTCAGGAATTTGTTAATTGCCTGGCAGACAGATTCCCTGTCTAAAGAGATCCAAGGAGTCTAGGCCTGTGTTTTCTGTTTTTTTTCTGTCTGATCCTCCTTTTAAGAATTTATCTGCGTTTCAGAGATTGAGCCGTTGTTTTTAGTTTCATCTAAATTTATATGAACCTGGAGTGTACTTTAACTTTCTATGTTATATTTCATATGTGTCAAAACTATCCTGTGCAGTATTGTGCTAACTTAAAATTCTATTCAACAAGATGTAATTTGATAAGACCAGCATAAGTGTGTCTCGGATGGTAGCTGGTTTTATTTGTGTCTCTGTAGATGTGATAAAAACTTGAATATCCAATTTTGTGTTGTGTCAAACTTTTCTCCTTTATGGTGTCCAGAAAATTGACCGCTTTAAGGCTGGTCGTGGACTTTACTGTGATGGATGGGTTATGTGCATTTAGGTGCTGGAGGAATTCCTTAAGTTTTGCTTCCGGATGAGTCCAGACCCCCCCAGACGTCATCCAGGTACCTGTAGTAGTGCATAGGAGCCTTTCTGCACGTACTAAGGGCTCCAGCCTTCCACTTGGCCCTGAAAATATTTGCATAGGCCGGTGCAAATTTCTTGCCCATTTCTGTGCCCTTAATTTGTAAGAAAAATTGGCCATCAAATATAAAGACATTTCTTTTTAAATTAATCTCTAATAACTGTATGAGTTCTTGATCTGGCCACCTACAGGTGATAGTATTTATTTTTTCTTCCATACTGCTGCTTCAGCCTAACTTGATCCTACATTACAGACTGATCAAAATTATTCATGAACATTTATGTATTTAAGCTATTTAATCTTATCTTATGAACTCAATATCATCACATTAACCACATGATAACTGACATATGAACACGTCAGTAATAACATTTTTATGTTATTCAACTGCTGCTTATGCATAGCTTCATTTAAATACAAAACAGTGAGATAAACTAATAAATCAACTAAATACACTCATATTTCAACTGAAACAGAATTGTGTGAACAACATTAAACTCACAATCTTATGAACGCGCACAGTCAGTCATTCATCTACTTTCTTTAGCTGCTTTTTTTCTCTCTGCTAAGGTTAGTCCTCCTCTGAATTCTAACCCTATACCCTAAATGTCATCCAAATACTTGAAATAATGCAAAGGCTTATTGCAGGCACTCATTGCACATGTTTCCCAGTAGGCCATAAATAATGTTTTAGCTTCTTTTTTCACATTAGCCACAGCTCAGCTATATGTCATGTCTGAGAATTTGTTGGATGAAGGCGTTTTATCCCAATGCTGCCCTGAAGGCTGGAATTTGGTTTTAAAAATTTGCTCTTTTAAATCTCTTTTATTTCATTTTATTTTTCTTCAAACTCCATTTTTAAGACAGAAATCACAGCTCAACTTCAAATCTAATTACTGAATTTCTGCTAGGTGCCAGAAATGTGGTAATCTATTCTGAACTTTAGAAATGACTTTACAAATTTCTGTCAGCATTACCCAGAATACATTGCATGGTGGGCCTTCAGATTTTAGCTTCTAGATCAGCTTTTTTTTTGCTGCAACCCCTAACCCTAAACCATATACACTTGTGATCAGGATGAGCTTTTCTTTCAAACTTGGTAAATTAGGATGACTTTTGAAATATTTTTAAAAAATCAGCACCATGAGTCAGAAATGGCTGTGAATTGTTGAAGTGCTCTTTCCAAAAATCACCTGTTT